CAGCAGCAGCAGCAGCAGCAGATGCTGCTGCTGCTGCTGCTGGTGGCTGCAGCTGGGCCACGTCCTTGCTGCTAATGAGTCTTCTACTGCTTCCTATGTCTTCCTCTATATGTCATTATCCCTGCTGCTGCTGCTGCTGTTGCTGCTGCTGCTGCTGTTGCTGCTGCTGCTGCTGCAGACGCTGCTGCTAATATATATATTTATATATAAAAAGAGCAGCAGCAGAAAAAAGTTTTCTGCTGCTCAATGGGCACAAGAGTTGCTGCTGCAGCAAACAAAGAACAAATGTTGCTGCTGCAGCAGGAAGAACAATGGTGCTGTTGCTGCAGCAGCAGGAACAAACAACGCTTGCTGCAGCAGCAGCATGAACAATAGTTGCTGCTGTAGCACAAAGAACAACAGTTGCTGCTGCAGCAGAAGGAGCAAGTGCTGCTGCTGCTGCTGCTGTAGGAGAAACAAAAGTTGCTGCTGCTATAAAACAAAGGAAACATATGACTGCAGCAGCGCATGCACTTGCTGCTGCAGCAAACCTGCTGCTGCTAAAAAGCCAATAGGGTTTGCTGTATACCATGTATGCATATCCCCTGCTGCTGCAGCAGCAACAGCAGGTGCTGTTGCTGCTGTTATCAGCAGCAGCAGCAGCAAAACAACTGCACTGGACACACTACAAGTAACGACACAAAAAAACACGAAGCAGCAGCAACTGCAGCAACAACTGCAGCAACAACTGCAGCAGCAGTTGCAGCAGCAGCAACAGCATCAGCTGCTGCTGCAGCAACAGGGGGATAAAGAGGCACTGAATGGTTTATTAGACACAAAGGATTATTTTCCTTGGACTATGCTGTTGCATCACCTGCTGCTGCTGCTGCACCTGCTGCTGCAGTTGCTGCTGCTGCTGCAGTTGCTGCAGTTTCTGCTACTGCTGGTTCTGCTGCTGCCTCCTCAGGTGGCGCTGCTGCTTCATTGGCTAAGGGCACGTCTTGTGTAGCAGCAGCTGCAGCAGTAGGTGCTGCTGCTGCAGCAGCAGCTACTGCTGCTGCTGCTGTTGCAGTATCACCAACTGGTGGTGCTGCTACTTCTTGATGCTGCTGTTCTGTTGCTGCTGTTGCTGCTGTTGCTGCTTGTGTTGCAGTTGCTGGTGGTGCAACAACAGGCCAGCGGCTACTGCTATGTTGCTGCCTTTGCTGCTGCTGCTGGTGCTGCTGTTGCTGTTGCTGTTGCTGCTGCTGTTGCTGCTGTTGCTGATGTCCCCCTCTTCTTGTGTCTCTTCTTCTTATGGATCTACTAGTATATCTCTTATGATGGTGTCTCCTTCTCTGCATTTGCTGCAGTTGCTGCATTTGCTGCATTTGCTGCAGTTGCTGCATCTGCTGCATATGCTGCAATTGTTGCACTTGTTGCATGTGCTGCATCTGCTGCTGCTGCTGCTGTACAAGATGATGAGGATGCTGCTGTCTTTGATAATGCTGCACTTGCTGCATTTGCTGCATTTGCTGCAGTTGCTGCACTTGCTGCAGTTGCTGCACTTGCTGCACTATATTATGTCTACCTTTTTGTGTAGGATATCTAGATCTCCAATTACCTCTTTGCTGCATTTGCTGCATTTGCTGCCCATGCTGCTGTTGCTGCTGTTGCTGCTGTTGCTGCTGTTGCTGCTGCTGTTGCTGCTGCTGTTGCTGCTGCAGTTGGAAGAAAGTAAGTACTAATGATTGCCATTTAGCTCCTATACGTATCCCTCTATCTGCTGTATTATTATATAGTCCTCCTCCTACAGGAGGAGCAGCAGCAGCAACAGGAGGAGGAGCAGCAGCAGCAAGAGGAGGAAGAGGAGGAAGAGGATTACCAACATTACCTATAAATCCTCTTTTCCTCCAATATTTTTTATCTCCTCCTCTCCCTACATATTGTTGTATCCCTTGTTGTTGCATCTGCATCCCTTGTTGTTGCTGCTGCATCTGCATCCCTTGCTGTTGCTGCTGCATCTGCATCCCTTGCTGCTGCTGCATCTGCATCCCTTGCTGCTGCTGCTGCTGCTGTTGCTGCTGATGAACATTATAATCATCATATTGTTGTAGTACAAATTTACCAACATAAGGAAGAAGAGGAATAAATTTATTGATCTTAATCATGGTTAATTGTGATGATGAATAACCTAGATGTGTTGCTAGTGTATGTACACCTAAATTATTTATTATATTTATATAATCATTACCTTCGCTTATTATACATGGACATATTATTGTATTTAATCTTGGTAATGCATAACGTAAATAATTATTTATATTATTACTATTATTATTATTATTATTATTATTGTTGCTGCTGTTGCTGTTGCTGCTGCTGCTGCTGCTGCTGCTGCTCATCATATTGATTGGTTGATTCACTAGGTTATTCATGCTACTTGTTGATATATTATTATTATTATTATTATTATTATTATTATTATTATTGCTGCTGCTGCTGCTACTGCTGCTGCTGCTGCTGCTGCTGCTGCTGCTGG